ATTGGCTGCCTACAGTGTAACTCACTCTAGGCCAATGCATTCACTGGGCAGGAGATGGATAAAGCCTCTGAACCTGCTTGAGAAGCAGCGAGTTTGTAAGATTTCTTCAGTCGACTAGTTACGTCATCCAGCAGTAAGCGAATAGCGGGCTCGGCCTACATGGTGTAGCAAACAGGCCTGGATGTTCTGACAGCTACCACTGAATTAAGTTCTACCAAATGGTTTAGAATCAGATGATTTTCAGGCAGGTTCTGCAGCATCTCAATTATGAGTTCCTATGAGATAACATCCTCCAGTTTTTCTTGGCCAATGCATTGCGCCTCCTTCTGTAGGACACGGCCTCTACTTGAGAAAACCTACAGAAACTGTTGGCTACAAAGCAGAAGAAACAAACGAGACTAATCCAGACGCTTTCTGCTGTTTTCAGCCACCAGAGTTCAGTTCTTTGCTATCGAGATCGCCCGCAACAGAGAAGGCTACAACGACACCGTGTACAACTCTAAATGTGCAAAGAGCTAGCCTCAGAAGACACCAGTAACAAACCAGTAAGCATCATGTCCAGTCCACAGGAGCCCTGGACCTCCAGGAAACACAAAGAGCAGCATGTTGTCTCCTGAGTAAGGAAGCACACTGTGTTCACCAAAGGAAAACAACTGTGTAATTATGACTTGGTATCTCACGAGACCCTGATTTCATTATCAGGACTTGCTGTTTTGTGATTACGAGAAAAGACCCTGTAGTTTTTAGTTGAACACACGGAGCTTCAGTGGCTCAGGGTTCATCTGTTTGTTTTAAAGTAAAAAGTTATGTTTTTGTCTGATTCTCAGTCTTTGTTCAACTCTTCATTTTGTATTTTACTGTAAAGATTTAGTGCCAATTGTCAGAAGTGGTTTATTTTGTAAAGAGATTTGTTTTCCTGAAAGATGAAACAAATAAAAGGTCAGATCTGTTTTACTACTGAGTCTCAGTATTAATAGCTAATCCATCATATTTAGCCTTTCACAGTGTAACTCACTGTATCCATGGCAACATGGCAGCCATCAGCTGGGGTTAGCGTCAGTAAGTTAACATGAACACAAGCTTAATTATAAAGCATTTTGAAAACTCAAAGGTTTACACAGGTCTGAACAAACAGGAAGTGGAATGTTACCATGGATACAGTGAGTTACGCGGGCTCCGTTTTAAAACAACTCTGTTAATCACTTTGGTGCTGAATCCATTTTAAAACCTGATGATTTTCAGGTTCCTTCTCCATTAACTGTCCATTATCTCTCCAAAGAGTTTGTTTGGTGAAGGTGATGCACTTCAACAGTTTTGGTCTCATGTAAAACAAAAACCCATGATTATTAAATCTCTCACTGTTCAACCAGGTGTTAAAACAGACTAAATAATGTTCCAACAAGTCGAGATGTAAACTATTCAACAGTATTGTTACTGGTGTGTGAACTGGTATTTATACAACGTTTAGTACCGGAGTGATCTTCATTAAATGATGCTGTTACTCTACATTACTACTTTGTATCTGGTGTCTGTCCGGTTTCTGTGACTCGTCTTATGGCAGTAAATCCACGGCCCACGTCCTGAGCACCACGCACCCAGCTCCCCATCCTGATCCTGAGCAGAATGAAGAGAGAAGCAGCAAACTAAAAATCATGAGGTTTATTTGCAGTCACAATGCTTACACTATATGTAGCAGACATCCAAACAAGTCAAACAGCTACTCGCTCTATGGACCCAACACATTCACATCAGGGACACAAACCAAAACTTAGGAGCTCAATAAACATCCATGAGTGCCGACATGGTTAGAGATGAGCTAGTTGTCACAAACAGTTAGCAGCAACATCGTAGAGTAACACAAGTTGCTAGTAGACTCCGCTCCCGCCCTTTTTACACTGCGCTCCCGCCTACCAGGATGCACTGCGGTTTCCTTCACCAGTTCGGACTAGACCGGGTCCTTCACGGAGCTCCGGCCACGTCTCCGTCACTGCTGGTTTCTGCCCTGTACGGTGGCACAGACCTCGGCTGTTGGAGCCGCCGCAGCACCATGACACGCCCCATACACACCGGGCGACAGAGCCACTTCACACACACACACACAAACACGCACAGACCAACAACATCCACACACCAAAAGGACTTCACTGCAGGACATAAACGGGGGCAGTCCCAGAACCTGCTCCGAAACCAGTGTAAACAAAATGGTGGAGACTGCACCCGGCCTACCAGAGGGGGTCACGTGACGCGACCACGTTGCTTACACGTCGCTCGACGCAGGAAGAACAAGCGACAACGCGCGGCTCGTGTCGCGCTGTAAAGGGCAGTTACACCATGTTTCCAACCTCCAAACGTTGTCTGTTGTGGACCAGGACGAAGAGCCAGAGGCTCCGAGCTTCAGTAATCTGTCAGACAGTGGAACAGTCTGGTTGCTCTGCACGTTTATTGGACCTGAAGATATTTAGTTTGGATTTCACAAAGGAACTAATTCTCACATTTCCAAAGCCAGAACCAGCAAATCTGACACTTTGGGCTTTAAAAAGTTTTTTTTCTTTTTACTAAAATGACAAAATGATCCAAATATCTGCTGATTAACTGTGACTAGCTGATAAACTGTTGGCTGCTGGTGAAGACACATGAAACGTTGAGATTAAACTATTTTGGTGGTAACCAAGATGTTAAATGTGCGGTTTAAGGTTTGTGAGTGTAAATGTTTTTCTGAGAAACATCACGACAGACTTTTCTAAAATATTGCTTGACATTTCTTAGTGTAAAGAATTGAGAAGATGATCTGCAGAGTTCAGTTCAGTCCTGCTGCAGATCAAACTGTGGGTACCTGTGGTTTATCCACTCATAGGACACAGTAACGGCTGGACACGGAGACAAACGCCGGGAATCACGGCTACAACTCACGGTTCATTTAATTTCAAAGGGCCACGAGGTAAAAGGTTGGAAAACAAAATGTCCCCACATTCTACTGAACCAAACAGGAGGCCCATGTTCTTCTGATCCACTAATCCATGAATTAGTCCGAGATTATTTCTAGTGTTTACATCAGTTTTCCCTGTTGGTTCTGGTGTTAATGTTTCTCGTTATTCGTTTCAGTTTGGGGTCTAACATGAATCCTGCTCGCACTAGAGACACCACGAGTGATTTTTGTTATAATAAGGTGTTTACGATGCCGGTGCTTCTCCCCCGACTAACGTTGACAGCAGCGTGTTTCCCACAGAATCTCTTCTGACAGAAACATTTTATGACACCGAGTCAGAGAGGACACACTTGGCCTGAAAAATAGTGTCACTGTCCCTTTACAGGCCGCCGAGCCTGCTGCCGCGGGGTTCGTGGCTATTTACATCACTTCAACCAGAGACTGAGTAAAATGTACAACGAGGACGCTCTGACTGTCCCTTTGTTAGTGTGTCCCTCTGCTTCCTGTGCACGGTGACGGCCCTGCAGCCTGAGCGTGGCCCCCTCACCTCCCCACGCAGACACTTGCACTAACGCACTACACTGTAAAAAGCTCAATCACACGGTTTTTGTTTGTTTTTCCTCAACTCTTCTTTGTGTTTTAAATTCGATCATTATAAACATTGTTCAAAATGTTACGAAAAAAATGTACACTTGGGTTTGTGTGGTTTTCTATACAAGGCAGGCAGAAGCAGATTACTACGTTTACCGCGTTCGTCCCCTTCTCGCCCCCCACCTCACCTTCTCTAACATCCTCAGCATGCTCTGCTTCCTCTGAGTGATCCAGAGAGCTCAGACATGCGACTCCAGCCAGGCGAGTCAGACCAACGCAGACTGGCTTTAAAATAGATCTGTATATATTTATATATGCTTATATCAAAAAGGGGAGGAGAGGGTGAGGGTGGGGGCAGGGGTATAGTTGCTGATTTTGATCAACAATCCCGTACGTCGCGTGTCAGGGTGAGGAGACGATCCCTAGGCATCGTCTGCAGCTGGGTAAGACTCTGCTGTGTGGAATGTCAGCTCATCATGTCGTTGCTGTTGACGCCATACGTCGAATTCTTCATGCTGTCATTAACCTCCCTCCTGAACACAGACAGGTTCTGAGTAAACCTGCACAGAGAGAGAGAGGGAGACACACAGGTGAGCACAGGCGGGGGAGGGAGACGGGGCATTCACAGGCGAATGTAGGAAAGTGTTTCTTCTATTTAAAAAACAGCAGCGGAAACATGACCTACCTGTCCCGGTTCTTCGTTAGTAGATTTCTCTCTATTCCCTCCATCAGGTTCTCAAAACATAAGTGCATGGCTTGCTGCTTCTCCGGGGGCTGACTGTTAACGATGCTGTTCCGCAAGTCGGCAAAATACTGCGGGATGCCCAGAGACACGTGTTCACACACAGATACACAGATGTTTCTGAGCTGATCCAGGTCTGGGTGTGAGGTTTACCTTCTCGTTGAGCAGGATGAGGCCCAGCAGAGGGCGAGACATCGACCACTGGTTCCTACAGTCCTCGAAGATGATGATGTTCAAAACTGTGGACAGCATCTGCACCAAAAGATAAAAATCATCACATGGTGGTCAGATTTACAGGTTCTTCAGCGGTTGTCGTCTTTGCTGTGTCGTGAAGTCGCTTTGAAACCTTGCACAGAGAAGTTAACGTCACATTTACTGATAAACCCTGATGGAGCTCACCAGATGAAAACCGCTTCATCGTGGTAACAAGAAACTTTCACCAACTGCAGTTATAAACACTAAGGAGTTGTGTAGCCTGAGGTTAGCACAGTGGTTCCTACACTGGGTGGATCAGGATGAGTCTTAGAACAGGCTCTCGGTGCAACAACGTGTTCATTTCCATTTTACCATGTTCACCAGGGACTGACTGGAGAGAGAAAACCTGTGTCAGATATAAACGAGCAGATCATCTGACCTGTTGGATCATCTCGGGGTGCTGCTGCATGATGTGCAGGAAGCGGTCGTCCGTCGCCATCGGGGTGGGGCGTTTCTTGGTGGAGCGTGACAGCTGCTTGAACAGGTAGGTGACTATGTGGTCAAGACTGGAGCAGCAGCCCGTGCACACCATTGTATCTGAAACACAGTCACACAGATGTAACAGCTACAGTGGCGTGCACACTCTTTAAGTCACAGCCTGAGCTCTGAGGGTTTTTACCAAGTGCGGTGAGCCCTTCTGATATCGATGACAGGATGTACATGACGACGTGAGGCTCCAGACTGGCGATGAAGTTCATGTGGTCCTGCGTCAGCACCTCCAGCAGAGAGTAGAAGGACTGGCTGAGTTTGGGGTAGTCCTGCAGGGACAGGGGGAGTCACGGTTAGTGCAGAACACCAGGTCAGTCCAGTCTGTCCAACTGGATCCCAGTGTCAATGAGACGGAGCCTCTGAAAACCTCAGTGTGGGGGGTGAAAATCAGGCTCATTATTTTGGAATTATCTGTATTTGTGAAGTTTATTTGCAGCATGAAATGATCAAAGATGAGAAGCTCAGATAATGACAGCTGGTGTGTCGGAGGTCGAGGGACGACAGGAGACAACCTGGGTTCTGTGACCCTCTGTCATCAGCTTGGTCTCATGCTTTCTGCAGAGTTCATTAAATAAATGTAAGAGTGTTTAAGGCCTTTTACAGCACGGAATGAAATTCAATGAAAATCTATTCCCAAATAGAGAGAAAGCAAACAAGCCGTGTCCAGGTTTTCTACATCTCATGTCCATGTGTGGACTCAATGACAGAACTTTGACAGATTGATTAATCAATAAAAAAAAAAAAAAAAACTGAATAATTTGTCGAGTCCATGGGGTTCTTAGCAACCGTCGCCCACCAGCCAAACCTGTAACCAAAGCCACCGTCTACAGTCGGCAGGAGGAAATACTCAGGAGGAATTTCAGACATTCAGACGGCGTTCTTTGGCTGGAATTGAACTCGGTGCTTTTTACAGGTATGGGACTCTAACACTGGCGGTGGGGACGGA